ATGTCAAGCAAGACTCGCAGCATCGACAATCCATCACAGTCGACGACATCGAGGCACACCGCGGCAAATCTTGTGTTTCAGCAGCGAGGGATCCTTCCTTCCTTCCTTCCAGACCGTGAGGGGAGTTGGGAGCAGCAGAGGAGCCCACGATTGACCTCCACTCACCACGAGCTCTGAAGCAGCACTACTGCACCACTTGACCTCCCCAGGCCGAGGGCAGCGAGCGCTGCGGCAAACGCGGCGGTGTCAGCCCGACATGCTGCGTGCTGTGCAGCGCATGGCGCATTGTGCGTATGCTGCGAGACACATGGCGCATAGTGCGTATGCTGTGAGGCGCATAGTTTATTCTGCCCAAGCTGCGCATTCTGTGCAGCGCATGGCGCATTGTGCGTATGCTGGGAGGCATGTGGTGAATTGTGCGCCGCACATGGCGCATAGTGCGCATGCTGTGAGGCGCATTGTTCATTCTGCCCAAGCTGCGCATTCTGTGAAGCGCATGCTGCATAGAGTGACATGCGCTGTACAGCATGAACAGCAAGCTGCGCGTTAAATTTTGTTTCTGCGAAAATTTTACACTATTCATAGTATGCTACATACTAATTAGTAGCGCAAACCTAAGTATTTCTTCCATTAAGAGCACCATTCTGCCACGTCGACCGCAAAAATAACATACGTATTGCTATTAATAAACTTCGTATGACGACAATCAAAAATTGAACTCGTTTGAACGATTGCTGTGATTCGGATTTACTTTAATCCTTCACGCAATGTTATTAGTTGCGTGACCAGTTGTCTGAAATGTGATCGATGTATCAGAGTTCACTTGACTGAGTGGAAAGTAATTCCGCCTCACAAGCCTCAACGGATTCCCTTGCTGGTGCGAGTTACAATTTCCGGCAGAAGACATCGGGTCGGATTATTCGTCACCTCAGTCGTCACGGTGAAGAGGTCTGTCCGTGACGGAGCCGTATTGTTGTCACGGTGTCGGATGTACTTCGACTAACTCCAGCGTTGGAATATCCTTGTTTTTTTATGCATCGAACGAATATCGGGCCTCACGCTCAACAATTCAGGTAAGTATAAGTGTTAGAAAAAAATCGGGATCACTTTCTATAACTACATGTATGTGATACCCATAAATAACCACATAAAATGCGTCTGAAGAATAAAATGTTCTCAATTAGCTGTTGTCTATGGAGCTATTGTTGAAAACGTCACTCAGCTGGGCGTTTGTCGTGTAGCACCACTGGCGCATGTACTAAATAAAGTTGCATTCCAACTATCGAACGTCTCTACTATTTGATTGCAGTTCCCATCGTCTACTTCGCCTATTCTTCTCGTTGAGAAAACGTATTACGCGGCGCAAAGATTTACTCTTCATTGAGTTGTTTTGCGTAGTGATTTCGCCTCTAGGCACTTTACGACACAAGAACTTTGCCAGGATTAACGTCTGCACGTAGGAGTGTGTTACACGTACTGAACACGGGGTTTCCACGAACTTCATGAATTCTTTTTTTCGCAGCGATAACTAACCAGCTTTGGTGAAAAATTGAACTGGAATCCACTGAAACGTTCGTAATGGTTAACCTTATTTAAATTCCATCCATTTGCTGTCCAGTTAAACATTTAATCTCAAGAGCACTACAACGAGATGAGAGAGATAATATGAGGTGATATCCTTATCAGTAGGAACTATGCCTCATATTTTTCTTCATTAGCGAGTTGTGTGTATACAGGATCTGGACAATCGATATTCTTCTAGACTCAATCTGTGACTAGCTTGAAATGAGAGTAAAGAGTGAAATACTGTCAGTATTTGCACTACACTAGGCATAAAGTAAATTAGTGAGGCAGCCTTAGCGTATTAAATTATCTTTTGATCGTTGATCTGCGATATATGAGCTTTGATAATCCTTTTAATGCGAGCTTGCTCCTCAAACAAGGCTGATCAATGGAATTTTTTTTGGAAATTGGTGCTTTTCTGATATATAAATTTCAACTTGAGAATAAATATAGTAAATTTTAATACTAATTTAAAGTATTTATACTCATACTGAAAATTGCCACCCATGAAGTAGACAAGTATTGCTTGTATGTCGAAAGAAAGGCGGCACTTGTGCACGATATTGTAAAATGTCTACGGGAAAAACGACCAATATTTAAGTACGTACACTACCCAGCAGAACTTTAGAAGTGCCAAAATTGACTCCAAGATTGCTTAATGCCTAGTGGCGCGATTAGTTAAATCATTAAATGATAGAAGTTCGCAGCAACAAATTAAGTACGTTTTAATAAAGAAAAATGTCATGAAATCAGTGAATAATAAGAGGAAGCCCGAACGTGAAAGTAGAACTTCTAAATTGGAATTTGATTTCGTCTGTTTAAATTAATTTTTAGCAATAAGCATACAAAGGCCGTAATATCTACACTTAAAAAATTTTGATAAATGTAAATAATCTATAATTTTACGTACACAAAACAATCATTTAGTTTAATGATTTTAAAGCGCAGGATCTAAATAATAGCTGGTTGAGAAATATCGCGCTTATGATTCTTTTGAAATAGGTGAATATAACGTGTTCTTCCGTATTCTATCAAAGAAAACCGTTATCATGAAGATTTTAAATGGGTCAAGGTCAAACAAGGAGTAAAAAAAGTCGTTTAATGTGAGACCACTCAAGTCAGCCGATCAAAGTCGATTACAACAATTGTTTTGCACTAAAAATAATAAAAACCATAACTTAAAAACGAACGAAATGAAAGAAATTTTTCTACAAAGTAACTAGGCCAAATATTCTTATAATAGCAGCAATATCAAGAGAAGATTTAGAATCAATTCACGTATAGTTTTGAGATCAAATATGTCTGCAACTGATAAAAATTAAGTCTAAAACTCTTCCGAAACGAAATTGTCCAAACATAATTTTCGTAACAATTAAATACCAAACACGACAGGAGTGATGTCTCAACATTTGCGGGAAAACGAATAAAAAACAATCGACGTCACTTCCAATAACAGAAGTCAATCGTTTAATCATGAACAAGGCCTTAATAACATCCATAATAATATTAAAAAGTTATTAACTGCACATAAATTCATTATAAATATTAAGTAGGATTGCGCTGACCAACGAATTGTCACGCGGTTATCGCTGCCATCACGAAATATAAGGATAGCTTCTCGCTCATGTCGCGTAAAAGTTGCCAGGACTCGGCTCATGGTTTGCAAAATTGCTAAAAAAAGACGTATAATCATATCATCATTCGTAAAATTTTATTTATGCGTTAAAATCAGATCATCAACGAAAAATTCGATGGTTAAAATTTGGCGGCATTTGATGTATAAATACGATTTGATTTTCCGCGGGAATAGCTGTTTCGAAAAAATCAGGTTTTAACGAATTTGCAAACGAAATCAAGTCTGAAGGAAGAACATGTAACGCCAAAACTCTTACCTTTTAGAGCAGTCCCGATGAGGAGTGTGCGAATCAATTCGGTGAATATCAACGACTCCAAGCAATTTCCTTTTTAAAAACATTGCAAAAATATAAAAGTGCCGATAAATAAGTCATACTTACATCAGGATGCTTCGTTTTTTCTCCATTGATGTCGCTCTTGGTTCACGTAGCATCAATATTGAACTTTACATAACCACATTTCCATGTAATAGTGGAAATGAGCGAAACGACATCCGATTTAGGTTGGAGTGTTTCCATAAATAAAGTGCATGTCGAATTTCGAACATCGTCGTCCCTTCCAAATGGTCGAATTTATGTATAGTAATAGAGCCTTGTAGTTTAGTAGTATTCATGATGCATACTTTCTTCTTCAGAAAATCGTCACGGCATTCTTCATGGTAAACGTGGTGTTGATGGTGAAGAATAATGATGCAATGATACTTTTTGAAGACGATTATTTGCTGTTATTGAGAAACTTTGCCAGTGTTCTGAAGTCTCCCGGAGCGATGATGATGTTTAAGGCAAGAAAACAATATTTGACGGCTCTTACATGTGTTGAAATTGATGTTCCAGGAACGAAGATGATGACGATGATTTAAATTCTGACAATTGCGAATAAGTCGCTAAATTTCACAGTGAACAATTTCGTGAGGTTCCTTTCTTCTGACGACGAGGCAGCAGTACTTTCCTGCTGCGATGAGTGACGAAGTTAATGGTGACGAGGCACTGAGATACCACCAGCTGTGTTCACGTCTCAATAACAGCGGGAACCCCAGCGTGGTTCTCGTGCCTCGTCACCAAAACTTTTCCAGGATAATGAATTTGATTCTTGATTTCTTCATGGCCATTGTCGTCATCGTGGGGATCCTTCATCGCAATTGTCGTCATCGTTGAGAAAGTGGATGAACCTCGCGTCCAAGAAACAGTTATTAACGTATTTTTCTACAAGCTTTCATTTTTACGGCGGCTTGGAATTGTTGATCTTCATGAAAAATGATTTAAAGTATGGTCTAAATGAAATAAAACATCACAAAAGGACGTAATTATTGATAATTTTAATACTGATTTCAAAACTATCACCACTTTCTAAATAAAATAGTCTGTGCTAAAATGGCCAACATCCACAGAAAACGACGTTTTCTAGCAGGACACTGAGGTCGAAAAATTACCGTCCAGAGGCCATTGAGGACATGCAACCCTAGGCAAAGAGGATTGCGAGTGAACTAAACAAGTAATATTGCATGTCAGGGCACGATGTACATTATCAATGGCATCAATATTTTAGATTCAACAGAATTCCACTTCAGAGAATACATGCAATTTTCTTTATTGGAAATCAATTTCAATTTTAGTTAGAGGAATATTTGAAGGTGACACGCTACATAACGCTAGTACACTGAACATTGCACTGTACATTATCTGAGTATCATTATCATGGTGGGAAAGTTAAATTAAAAAATGTGACAAAATTTAGTGTGAAAGTTGTATCAACATCATGCTCACATAGAACCCTTTTTATCATCGAAAACTATGACTACTCACGTGTCAATAGGTGCGGTTTGGCATATTTCCGGCCATGGTGACTGGACCTCTGTGGAAGAAAATAAAATTAATTTACTATGCAAATAAAGTGGTAAATTTTTTATCCTGCTCAAGTTGTTACAATTACATTCAAGACAGTCAAAACTATTTAAAGTTAAAGACACAGCAGCGAGAAAAAATTTGGATTTTTATGATACAAAAAGTAATTTTCTAGATTATTCTAAGGTGAGATTGACTCTGGTAAATTCATACACCTGGTGTATATGATCTTCGCAATTTACTGACACATAATGAGTGACGCGATTTCAGTAATTACCGAAAGCGACTTTTCAAAGTTTATCATACGAAACTTAAAGATTAATATTACGGTATCGTGTATCAAAGCTTCACACGCTTCCAACCGGCATGAATCTCCTCTTGTGTTTTATGGACTCATAAATTATCGAGCGCCTGATAAGAGCGTGCACCGCAGGTGGAAGCTCTTACCAATGACGAGAGGCTAATACTCGATAGCGATCTAGATCAGCACGAGCTACAATTCAAATAAAAATGTTAGTCTTGGGGCGGAAGCTGCAATCAAAATTTCTGTGAAACATGGAAATTTTCAACTAAAAATTTCGACCCGTGTACAGCGAAGGGAAAATTTAAGTTGACGAAGATAGACGAGCACGTGGAAAGCGTGAACGAAGTGAATTGAACGCTTTGAACATGAACGTCACGGTAACTATGATAAATAAAACGATCGAATTTAATTATATCGTCAATACCAAAGCAAAATTATGGATTTGAAAGCTCAGCAAACACTGAATGACAAAACTAAAAACTTCTCTCTGCGTTTGAAAGGACAGACCGCTGCGTCGGCTGAGGTATTGACCACAGGCAGGTGAATGTTGACACGACAGCAAAGTCGGGACTTTATAGAGGAAGAACAGAGAGCGGCACTCGACGTTTATCTTATCGTACAACACAAAACAATGAGCTCAGCAGCGAGACTACAAAGGCACCTCAGACGTGAACACATCCCTCCTCTCAACGCCCACTGATCACCATGAGTGAGCTCATCATTAATAACACATTTGATGCCCTATAAAGTAAAAGCTATTAATCTTTTTTAAGCATCTAAAAAATTCTCATAATTAACGGAAAAGTTTAAAACATAATTTTCATTATTCTAAATGAGGCACTGGTTCCGTAGTGATAATAGTCGCGCTGTTCTTAATAATTAGTCATTTAATAATTATTAGAATTAAACTGATTTTCATGAACTTTTTATTCGAACGTCCAATAATTCGGTACGGTTTAGCAGTGATTGAAATGATTCACCGATCATTTTGCCTTGTACATATAGCAATTGGCTTAAAAATTTTATTATATGCGCATTGGACTGTATCAAATTTTGCTGGCAATTATACGAATGAGCAAAATTACAAAAAATCATTATAATTATGCTGATATTATTGAAGTAAGAACAAGCAATAAGAGAGCAGCATTCAATTTTCATTTTCAAGCAATAAGAGCGCAGCATTCAATTTTTCGATTAATGTGGTTCATTAATCGAAAGTCATAATTTATGACCTGCGAAAATTACGTGCAACGTTACGACGATGTTTAACGAAAGACCTCCGGCTAATAAATACGGAGCAGATAAAACATAAATGCCGCTGGCCATGAGGAAGCTGTGGCACGCTCCAAAAAGTGATTGCCATCGTTCCTAATCTTATTTCGTCCTAATCCCAATAACCCTGATATCCTATTTGAAACTAATAACAGAAAACATTTATATTGCTGCTGCATGAGGTCACCCAGGTACGTTCAGTCGTACTTAGACTACTTTTACACGGACCTCAACAAAGGCTTGTAATTAAAGGCAATACGGGTTCCTCTTCAGTCTTGTTTCCACAAATTCACAATTCCATGAAATCCACACTCTTCCATCAGAATTTCAAACTATCCCATAAGTAAAATATTGAATAACATAAGACAAAGTATTAACAAACACAAAGTATTATGATTAATAATATTAATAAACACTTCTCACAAATAAATTAATCTAACTATAAAAGTCATAACAAAATAAATAACATATCGAAATAATCACAAAATGAAAAATATAATAACAAACAAATAACCAAGCTAAAACGCACCTTGACTCTGAAGGTTCAAAGGCGAGACTGACTAGAACGGATAGAACCTAAAGATCTAACTTCCGCTCTTCTAAACTTAAAACTTAAAATTCAAAACATGAAACTATAAAATATTAAATCCTATATTTCCCTAACAAGTAATGCGCTCATGTTCTCTCTTTACGAAACACGTCGGACGTGCGGAACATCAAACTTTATTTCTTTATGAGGCGGAAGTCAATCGCATCCGAAGGCGGAAATGAAATGGAGCCAAATTTGACCAAATTTAGGTCGAAGTTTCGCGATTTATATTCCCACAATAAAGTAAGACTGTTCGATTTAATTTACGTTTCTGGTTAATTATCACGCGTCCCATTTGCATAGAGCGGAAGTGAAACTTTCATGAAAAATACAATTTGAAATTGCCAACAGTTTAAGATTTCCGCCGCTAGATCAAAGGCTTGACTAATTAATGGCGAAACTGTCCAGATTTCGCAGTTATTATTCTGCCGTTTAATTAGATCATGTAAAAATTACGCTGAACTCAACACGTGTTATTTGCCTCGACAATAAATGTTAAAATTTAAAATCTTGTTGACGTAAGCTTGAATTAAGCTTGCTGGAAAGTTGTTCTGGCTCTCTAATAAGTTGATTGATATCATACTTGGATGATTTTGGAGCATCGGAAGTACATGGAGCGTTTGATTACGAATATATCGTACCTAAACGATCATCAATGCATAAGAAAGCTCATTAAATGTAGACTAGCATTGGGATAACGCATTCCAAATAACTTGGCGATGCCATATTAAATTAGGTGCGGATATGCATTGAGTCACAGAGCGCCACGTTATCTGGCCCGCTATCGCCAGTGCTACAATGGCCCTCACGCCACTCAACACTACAAAGATCTTCATCAGCAGTACCTTGTGGCAACACTCGTCAACGCCCGGCGCACACGCAGCGTAACAAAAGAACCACTTGACGGCAGGTTGCAAGAGTGCCAGATGGGACTTTTTTTCCGGCCAAATTTGACGGCTAGTGCCTTTTTGATTAGCTATGGCCAGTACAAATTTACGTGTGCCTTGAATTTGCTGTATTTTCTCATGTATTATAACTCCGGGAAATTTAATTGTTAGGCTTAATATATAAATTGAATAATAAATTTAGCGTTTTGGCCTTTTTGTGAGCGGAATTGGCCGTTTTTCTTGCGGCAACCATGACACGAACCTATTATGAATGCAATATAAAAAAAATGTTGTAGCAAGCAATATTGTGCCAGTTAGTATACATCAGTGGAGCGAAATAAGTAATTTAATAACATGAGTATATTAATCACGTCTCACATACTTCATCAAATGAGAGAAAATATGCAATATCATTTTTACGGCCACAAACTACCTAAAATGTTTTCATTGTCCTTTAAGCCCATACACTCCAATAAGAAGCAATATAATAACAATATATTAAACTAGCCTAGAAAATATTTCATGTAACATTACAATAGCTTTGCGTTTTTAATTCAACATAATTTATTTGTGGTCAATATTACAGTCATCCATTTGGCGACTCATGCGTCATCGACGGTTGTCGGTTGAACTCGCACAATGTCATTTCCGGTATTCCTTGCATGCACTCAATCAGATTATCCTTGCCAGTCCAGCGACGCACGTAAAATTTATTGTCACCAAATTTCACATTACTATGCAGACGTTGTCATCAGGTAATTGAAAGCAATCAGATGTCAAGTTTGAAAATCTGCTATCCAACTATAATCAAAATAAGGTGAAATTTTTACATCGGATATGGGCTAACTAAAGCGACCATACATTAACTATTCATTAAGCGATCAGGTAGTCAAAGATTTCGTTGCCTTTTAGTTCTAATGTATCTATAATGTAAGCTTAAAATTATCATCGTAAACATTCAAAATGAGACTGCTGCCTTAGAGCATGATGATAATCATAATATAATAGTGTATGCTGAAATGATTAACTAATGGTATAGAAGAAAACTGTTTAATTTGAGGTATGCACAAGTACTTCACTTACGACTTTGTCCGGCTTTTTATGTTTTCTTTTACTTGATGCTAAAGACGTATTTTATGCTCTGACTCTCTCGTCATTAGATCTTAAAGGTACTTGATTGAATTAAGAAGTTCATAACCGATCATTCGGCTGAGAATTCAGCGAACTCTGAAACAACGATGTTTAAAATTATACTTTAAAAACTCTACCTAAATACTTTTAAATAGTTTAAACACTAGAGATAATAATTTAAGTTCCTGCATTCCTTCACATGGCCAAGTAAAATGGTAATTTGTTCGAGCATGATTCTGAAAAGGCATTCTATTCAGGGTACACAGAAATATTATATATAGAGATGAATATTAGATAATTTTTCACTTGCAGAATTTCGTAATTTACGGGGATTGCGATTTGCCACGATCTCGAAGACCTGATTGTCGTGAATTTGAAAACGGCACAGAGCGTAATTAATATGGAAGGAGCAAAAATTGTCCACTTAGAATTATATACACTAAAACCGCTGCAGCTTTAGACACGGTTACGCAATAACGCCTGTTACCATTTGAAAGAAAACCTTAATAAAAACCGACCACCGCTTTCGGTTCATTCAAATCACAGTAACACGTCGGCACTTGGATAAGATGGAGAACTAAGCGCGTCTAAAGTCTGTCGACCACTGCTTCGTCGCCAGGCAAGGGTTGAGGTTGTGCAATGCAGTTGTACAAGAGAGTGTTTCCTTCCTACTCAGGAAATACCTGATGTAGCAACTCCACCGCTTAGTTGTTGGGAAATGGGGCATAAAAAAACGCTATTCTACGAAAGGTTAGAACCGACGCAGATCTTTTCCCAAAAGGGACAGCATGGCAACTGAGTTAGTCGTCATGGTCATCTGAAGACAT